CCTTCACCTTGTAAAACTACACCTTTAAGTGCATCTAGTAGATTGCTTGTCTCCATTTTGTTTAATTCTATTCCTGGAGTTTTGCTCTGGATCCTCCCCCCTCCCCCTATTTGGGACATGTTTCTTTGTCTTCTCATTTTGGCAGCCCAGCCCCCCTGTGTTTGATTCTGTGTGTTAGGTAGAACTATACTACTATGTCTCCTGCACTTGGTGGAACGGCCTTTTGAAATAGGTGTCCAGTAGGGTCCAGTGGCCCAGCCTCCCCATTCACCTGAGCTGGGCACTCCAGTGTGGATCTGCTCCCTCCCCCCCAAAACCCTGTGTGGGCTGTTGCTCTACTACCATGGAGAAACAGCTGTGCAGGGGTCGACCCCACAGAGCAGGATGTACTTCAGCGGGGCTCCAGTGCCTTCTGAGTCCGCCCCTTGAGTGCATTCCTGCTGGGGAGGATATTGGGTGTTCTTTGACATGGTCTGAAACTCTCTACTTTCTGCCCTTCCCAGGGCCATTCAGCATGAGCTGCAAAGCAATCTGCAGGTGGCTGTTACTTGTACTGGGCTTGGAGGTGTCCAGGAGAGACCAAGCTATGAACCAAGACTAGCTGCCACTAGTGCTGGGCCTGGGGCCACATAGTGAGAGGTATGGGGCATGCCAAGGCCAAAAATAATGACATAATGTGGGGTTAATAGCATATACAGAAGTAAAACAAAACAGCACAAAGGAATTGTGAGACCTCTAAATTTATTCCCTCCAACCCTACCCCCAAGATTTTTTTGACTCTTGAGATTCCACATCAATTTCAGGATTTCCCCCCCTATTCTTCAAAAAATGAAAATAAATGCCATTTGGATATTGATAGAGATTGCATTGAATCTGTATGATGCTTTGAGTAGTATGGACATTTAAATAACATTAAGTCTTCCAACCAATCCATAAGATAGGATATCTTTCCACTTATTTTTATCTTCTTTGGTTTCTTTTTAAGCAGTGTCTTATAGTTTGTGTGTCTTTCATCTCCATGGTTAAATTTTATCCCTAAGTACTTTATCCTTTCTTTATACTATAACGAATGGGATTGTTTTTTAAAATTTCATTTTAGTATTGGTCATTGCAAATGTATACAAGTGCAGCTGAATTTTGTATATTGATTTTGTGTCTTGCAACTTTGCTGAAATTTATTAGTTACAACAGGTTTTTTTTTTTTTTTTTTCTGGGTGGGGAGGATCTTTATTGTTTTCTACAGATGAAATCATGTTATCTGTGAACAGAGGTAATTTTATTTTTTTCCCATTTTTTTCTTTGTGTTTTATTGTTACTTGTCTTACTGCTTTAGGGTATGTACTATGTTGAATAGTAGTGGGTATCCTTTCTTGTTTTTGATCTTAGAGGAAAAGCTTTCAGTCTTTTACCACTAAGTATGTTGTGAGCTTTTCATTATATTGAGGGAATTTCCTTTTATTTCTAGTTTGTTGAGTGTTTTTATCGTGGAAGGGTGTTGGCCTTTGTCATATGCTTTTTCTGCATCACTTAAGATCACTATGTGGTTTTTGTCCTTTATTTGTTAATGATTGATTTTCATGTGTTGAACCAGTCTTACATTTCAGGTATACATTTCATTTGGTCACAGTTATAATCCTTTTAATGTGCTGTTGAATTTTGTTTGCTAGTATTATATGGAGGATTTTTTATATCAATATTTATTAGGGATATTGGTCTATATTTTTCATGTTGTAGTTTTGATAGCAAAGTAATGCTGAGTTTAGAGACGTTTCCTCCTCTTCAATTCTTTGGGAGAGTTTGAGGAATATTGTTGTTAATTCTTCCTTTAAATGTTGAGTAGAATTCTCCATTAATGCCATTTAATATTAGGCTTTTCTTTGTTGAGAGATTCTTTATTACTTTTTAATTCTCTTTACTGGTTATGGGTCTGTTTAGATTTTTTATTTTTTCACTATTCAGTCTTAGTAGTCTATATATTTCTAAGAATTTGTCCATTTCTTATAGGTTACCTGATTTGTTGTGTATAATTGATTATAGTACTCTCTTATAATCATTTTTATTTCTGTGACATCAGTTTTAATATCTCCTCTGTCATTTGTAATTTTAGTTAGTTGACTATTCTTTTTTTCATAGTCTAGCTAAGGATTTGTCAATTTGGTCGGTCTTCTAAGAAAACCAACTCATTTTCTGTTTTAGTCTGTTTGGGCTGCTATAACAAAATACCACAGATTGGGTGTAAACAATAGAAGTTTATTTTTCACAATTCTGGAATCTTGGAAGTCCAAGATTAAGGTGTCAGGATGGTCACATTCAGATGGAAACCCTTCTCCTGGTTCATGGCTGACAATTCTAAGTGTTTCTCTGGGTCAGTTTTATGAGGGCTCTACCCAATGACTTAATCACCCCCACACCCTTAATACCATAATCTTTGGGGTTTGGATTTCAACAGTTACCTTTTGGGAGGATACAGATATTTATATCATAGCAGGTTTGTTGACTTTTTTCTATTGTCTTTCTAGTCTACTTTATGTATTTGTGCCTAATATTTATTATTTCTTTCCTCTGTTAACTTTGGGTTTAGTTTGTTTTTCTTGTCTCTTGAGGTGTGATGTTTAAATGTAAGGGTTTACTGCTCTAAACTTACCTGGGGCCTGCAGGTTGGGGGAAGCTCCTGCATTGAGTGTTTGCCCCCTAATGGTCAGTGCGTGTCATAGAGACCGGTTGTTCCACCATTTGGTTGATTTGCATATTAGGCTTTTATTATATAGGATAGTTCCCGATTTCAAATATGTTTAGTAATTTTTGATTGAATTCTTGAAATTGTAAGTTTTACACTGTTGAAGTCTGGATTTTGTTTTAGTTTAAGAAGTTACAGACTTTTTCTGGTAGGCAGTTATCTTTGAATAGGCTCAGTGTTTTGAGGTTTGTTTTTTTGTTAAATATATTTTATTGATTTTTTACAGAGAGGAAAGGAGAGGGATAGAGAGTTAGAAACATCGATGAGAGAGAGACATTGACCAGCTGCCTCCTGCACAACCTCTAATGGGGATGTGTCCGCAGCCAATGTACATGACCTTGACCGGAATTGAATCTAGGACCCTTCAGTCTGCAGACCAATGCTATATCCACTGAGCCAAACCGGTTTCAGCTTGAGGCTTGGTTTTAATCTCCTTTTGGGAGAATCAATAGTAGCCTCTCTATTTTGGTAATGCTGTCTCCTTTCAAAAATATGGCTATTCAGGTATTGTTTCTGAATGTCCTTTGTATTTGCAAAAGAGTTCTCTCAGCTTTTGTTGGTGGGAAGGATTCTCAGCCTTGTGTGTTCTCTGGGAGGAATTGTTTTAGAGTTCCCTGGTCATGGTTTTCCCTTAGGAAATTGATTTTGCTGAGCTTTGTAGTGTTTTTTTGTAAGCATGTGCAGGTTGGCGTTAGTCAAGAAAACTCCTGGGTTGCTGGACCTCTTTCTCTGCATACCTTTCTTCTTGAAGGTATTCAGTAATAAAATCTCATTTTCCTTGCCACTCCACAACCATCTCTTGTTTCTTCAACTTAGCAAAAATGCTGGGCTCCACTTGGATTCCCTTTTCCCGGTGCTTCCGTCTGCCCAAACTTCTTGACCCTAAAGTCTTGATGATAATGCGGCTGATCTCGTCCCCTTTTCTCAGGGACCTCAGTTCTGAAATGCCTTATATCTAATGTCTGAAATAGTTGTTTCCTGTATTTGTTGAGTTTTCTGGTTGTTTACAACACATAATTCTGGATCCGGTAACTTTTTTTGTGTTCAGAAGTGGAAATTCTGTAATTGATACTTCTGAATTTTTTTGTTTTGTTTGAACTTTCAAAAGCTTTGGACATGGTCAAGCACTAACTTCTTGTCCTACATGACCTCATTTCTTAAACATTGATGTTTTCCTAGGAGCTGTTTTCTCCCTGACCCTGATTTCTTTTTAGAAATTTTCTTGATGATTTTATCCCTTCTCATGTCTTCAGGCCTCATCTATGTTCTGGTGGTAAAAAAAAATAATATTTTCAACTCATCTCTTTTGGGAATCAAATATACTCTTGCTTGCTGGAAATCTACATTTGGAAGAGTTGACTTAAACACTTAATATTTCCCCTCCAAATTGTTTTCTACTGGTGTTCTTAGCTTAAATGACTTAAGTCAAAGGCTTAAGAGATATCTCAACTCCTCTCTTTCCCTCATCATCCTATATTTAATCCAAACCACTACCTGTTGATTATGCCTCTTGAATAGTTTATCTTCTATCCATTCTTACTATTAGGATTATATTCTGTGCATCCATATATGGATTAAGCTTCGAAATAGTTTCCCTTTTCTATTGTTGCTCATTTCATGTCCTTCCTCTGCATTACATATAGTAGGTATTGCAGTGATTTTATTAATTTTATACATATTATTACATATATATTATGACGTGATTATGCTTATATATACTTATTTATTAATACACATACTTCCGTATTTGTGTGTGTATATGTGGGACTTTATCCTATAGAGTACTAATACATATGTGAGTTGTCTTATGCATAAGCTTATTTATCAAAGTGTTGTTTATAATAGCAAAAGGGAACCTGTGTGTTCATAAATAAGGAATTTTTGAGTGAGAGATGCTATATCTTTACAATAAAGTAGAAGGTAGATGTACGGGAAAAAAGAATAGGGATGCTTTCTATGTACTTTTTAGAGATCTCCAACATGAGTTACATTTAAGTGAAAATAGCCAGGTGCACAACAGCATGTATAAAAAAGAACGTGTGTAAAAATGCTGGGTTGAAAATGGGGAGAAGTAAAAACATAGTATTTATTTTGTATAAAAGTTTCACAAGAAGCTAAGTAAAAGTGGGTTGGAAGGAGACTACTTACTGTATACATTTTTATATTTGAGTTTTGAACCATTTGGATGTATTACCTCTTTAAAATAAAATTAAAATTTTTATTAAAGGTCTTAAATATTTTCTTCTTGTCTTTTTGTCACTAGTAAGCTGAAAAAGCTGAGTGAAGACAGTTTGACTAAGCAGCCTGAAGAAGTTTTTGATGTATTAGAGAAACTTGGGGAAGGGTAAGTATAAAATATATGAAAATACCATTTACTTTTGTATATGTGTGTGTGTTTGCATAGTCTCTTGACCTCACAGTTTCATTTATAAACAATTATAAAGATGCTATATAATATAAATTTTTCTATTTGCTTGAGTAGAATAGTAACAGTATGGAAGGAATCATACCTCAACATAATAAAGGCCATATATGACAAGTCCACATTTAACATCATATAGGTGAAAAGCTGAAAGATTTCTTCTAAAATTCGGAATAAGACACGTATGGCCACTTGGCTACTTTCATTCAACATATCGAATAGTATTGGAAGTCCTAGTCAGAGCAGTTAAGGCAAGAAAAAAGAAATACAGAACATCCAGATCAGAAAGGAAGAAGTAAAATTGTCTGTTCACAGATGACATAATATTAAATAGAGTTTCCACAAAACTGTTAGAATTAATAAATGAATTTAGTAAAGTTGCAGAATATAAATTAATATACAAAAAGTTGCATTTTTACAACTATAAGAAAGAGAAATTATGAAAACAATACAATTTATAATTACATAAAAAATAATAAAATACCTAGAAATTAATTTAATCAAGATGGTGAAAAGTCTGCACACTGGAAACAATGATGAAAAAATTTAAGAAGACATTAATAAATGGAAAAATATTCTGTGCTCATTGATTGAGAGAATTAATATGTTAAAATGTCCATTCTACGCAAAGCAATCTACAGATTTAGTACAATCTAGCAATATTCCAATAGCATTTTTCACAGAAATGGAACAAAGAATTCTAAAATTTAGATGGAATTATAAAAGATAACTAAAAGTTGAAGCAATCTTGGGGAAAAACAACAACAACCAGATTTGGAGGCATTATGTACTTTGATTTTAAATTATATTATAAAGCTATAGTAATCAAAACAGTATGACATTAGTATAAGAACAGACACATATAATAGCCCAGAAATAAGCCCATGGATGTATAGTCAATTTATGACAGAGGAGCCAAGAATATACATCATTAATAAATGATGTTTAGAAAACCAAACAGCTACATGGAAAAGACTGATATTGGACCCCTATTTTGTACCATACACAAAAATAAAATTAAAATGGATTAAAGACATGAATGTAAGATCGGAAACCATAAAACTCCTAGAAGAAAAGAGGAGATAAATAAGCTTCTTGACATCTGTCTTGGCAATAAACTTTTGAATTTGCTACCAAAGTACAAAGATAACAAGAGGAAAAATAAAGGAGTGGGACAGTATTCTGAGCAGGTCTGCATAGCAAGGAAACGATCAATAAAATAAAAAGTCAACTTGTGGGATGGGAGAAAATATTTGTAAATCGTATATCTGAGAAGGGGTTAATATCCAAAGGACATAAAGAACCCTTGCAACTCAATAAGAAAAACCAAACATTGCAGTTAAATGGGCAGAGAATCTGAACAGACACTTCTCAAAAAGGACATATGGAAGGCCAATCGATATAAGAAAAGATGCTCAGCATCACTAATTGTCAGAAAATGCAAATGAAAGCCATAATGAGGTATCACCTCACATATGTCAGAATGGCTACCATCAATAAATCCATAAATGACCAGTGTTGGCCAGGATGGAGAAAAGAGAACCCTTGCGCACGGTTGGTGGAATGCAGATTGGTGCAGCCACTATGGAAAACAGAATGGAGTTTCCTCAAAAGATTAAAAATGGGCCTGCCTTATTACCCATTGGTTCCACTATTAGGGATTTATATGAAGAAACCCAAAACACTAATTCAAAAGAATATACCCCTATGATCATTGCAGTATTATTTACTGTAGCCAAGATTTGGAAGCAGCTCAAGTGCCCATTAGTAGATGAGTGGATAAAAAAGCTGTGATCTATTTATATAATGGAATACTACTGGCCATAATAAAAGGGAATTCTTGCCTTTTGCTACAGCATGGAGGGATCTGGAAATTATGCTAAGTGAAATAAGCCAGTCAGAGAAAGTCAAATACCATATGATTTCACTTATACGTGGAATTTAATGAACAAAAGAAACTGACGAATAAAATAAACAGAAACAGACTCATAGATCCACACTGACAGCTGTGAGTGTGTGGTCTCCCTCTTGAGGAGATGACAGTGAAAGGAGCATTTGAGGATGCTTTGGATCTATGACTTAGGAGGGAACATATTCCCTGCTTCCCTAACTTCGGAATCATGTAGTCCCCAACTGAGTGGTTCAGTTGCCCTTAAGCAGTCTGAACAGGCATGGAACTTTATTATTTTGGGGATAATTTTGCTTTAGGTGAGATTAGTCTTTGTTCCTAACTTGAGACTTGGGCGGTTTTTATTCTGTATTTCATTCTTTTTCTTTATAAAAATAGTTTACTGATTTTTAGAGAGAGAGAGGAGGGATAGAGATAAACATCGATGTGAAAATGCAACATTGACTGGCTTTTTTCTGCACTCCTCCTTCCTTAAAAATAGAGCCCGAAACCCTGGCATGTGCCCTTGCCTGGGAATCAAACCTGCAACCTTTTGGCTCACGGGACAACACCCAGCCAACTGAGCCACACTGGCCAGGGCTTTATTTCATTTTTTTTGGTTTTGTTTTGTTAATTTTCACCTGAGGATATTTTTTCCATTGCTTTTCTGAGAGAGTGAGAGGAAGGGAAGGAGAGGGAGAGAGTGAGAAAGAGAGAAACATTGATGTAAGATACATCGACTAGTTGCCTCCCACATCCACCCTGATGAGGGGCAGGGAGCAAACCCACAACCCACTTATGTGCCCTTGGCTGGGAATCAAACCCATGACCCTTTGGTGCATCAGCTAACACTCTAACTACTTAGCAACACAGGCCAGTGCTATTTATTATTTTAACTTCCATTTTTATCTTCTTAATGCTGCATTTGTTTGAGTTGATAAGCTGTAAGCCTCTTTCATTTATAAGAAAAACAATAAATCTTTATATATTAACGATTTTAAGAGATTTTTAAGTCAATAATTGAAGCATTAAAGCTAAAGTATAATTAACTTTATTTGTTTGATTTGTCATCATTAAATCATGCTTTAAACTAGGAAAGACTGTGTTCACAAACTGTAGACTCTCTAATAGTTATGATGTTTGAAAGGAAAAAATAAATGTCTTGGTTTCTTTTAGGTCTTATGGAAGTGTATTTAAAGCAATACACAAGGAATCGGGTCAAGTTGTGGCAATTAAACAGGTACCTGTTGAGTCAGATCTTCAGGAAATAATCAAAGAAATTTCCATAATGCAGCAATGTGACAGGTATGAAGAGCTTTAATTTTTTTTTGTTTTCCTTCTTTTTGATGAGTTTTGCTAACAATGTATAATAAAACTAGAGGCCAGGTGCATGACAATTGTGCACTTGGGTGGGCGTGTCCCTCAGCCCGCCCTGTGCCCTCTCATAGTCCAGGAGCCCTTGGGAAATGTCCAATGGATAGCTTAGGCCTGCTCCCCACTGGGAAAGAGCCTAAGCCATTAGTCAGACATCCTTACTGCTGCCATGGAGGCAGAAGAGTCTCCTGCCACCGCCACTGCACTCGCCAGCTGTGAGCCCGGCTTTTAGCTGAGCGACGCTCTCCCTATGGGAGCACACTGACCACCAGGCCCAGCTCTTGTGTTGAGCGTCTGCCCCCTGGTGGTCAGTGTATGTCATAGCGACCGGTCATTCCGCTGTTCGGTTGATTTGCATATTGGCCTTTTATTATATAGGATGTGTTATTTAGTCATCTGTTTAGTTTTCTGACTTTCCGTTGGAAGTGAGACTAAAATCCTTGTCTTTAGGACTTACAGCTCTTAAGCAGAATTGATGATATAAAGCAGCAGGTGGTGGTAGAAAATACTCAATTTTCCCATTTTCAGGGCAAATTTATGGGTGAAAATTATTTTTTTATGTTAAGGGGGGGGGCTGTCATTTAATAGTCTTTTTTATATTACTCTTTTAAACACAGCCTTATGTAACTAATTCATTAAAAGAACATTTGCTGAGCGTCTCTAATGGGCCAGGAATTGTTGCAGAATCTGGGAAAACAAGAGAGCTAAAAATAAATAGCTATAATATAGCTGAGTCACTATACCGACTGGTGTGGGAGGTGATGTGATAACAAGGAGGCAGGGCACTTATCTTAGCCAGGAGTCGGAAGTCTGGAATGCTGAGGAAGAGTTAAACTGGTGAAGAAATGGAGAGATGTGAGAGAGTATAGAGGATTACAGGTAAGTGCTCACTGGTGTATGCTATTCTGACAAGGTTTAAATGACTGGAATGGAAAATATGAGACTGAGATTTGTGTGACCTGAGTTGTAAGTAAACGAAGCTGATCATGAAGGGGCTTAGTACGCCTATTAAATGACGTGAGGATGCAGAGTGTATAAATGATGACTGTATTTAGCCTATAATTACTTAAAGTAATAAAATTTATTATTCTCCCTTTACAAAAGGTCTAGAGTTAGGGCTGGTATAGCAGCACCAGTGTAATGACTGTCTTAGGCTTCTTGTCTTATGTTGTGCCATTCTCAGCATATGGCCTTTGCTTTCATGTTTGTTGTCTCATGGTAGTAAGAGGGCTGCTCCAGTTCCAGCCTTATGTCTGTATAGCAGGAGGGAGAAGGGAAGAAGCAGGAAAGGGCTTTCCCAGAATCCCCTACCTAATGTTTTATTTATTAGAATTGGCACACAGTGACTTAGAACCAGTGACTTAGGGGAGTCTGGACACATTATCACCCCTGGTCAAAACAGGGCGCTTATTAGTAAGAGATCTATGGAAAACTATCTCTTCCAACAGTATATAAGGTCCTTGTAAGTTTGTTGGCTCATGAAGTGACTGAATAATTTTAGAGGAACGTTGTTCTCGGGTGTGTTTAATTTTGCTTTTCTTTATTATGTGTTATATATTTAGATTGTTACATATTTCCCATTAAGGCTGTGTAACAGGAAATTCAAGTGGTTATAGAAAAATATTATATTCCCCAGTCTTCAGTCCCCAGATCAAAAAATATAATTACAAAATTTCCCCAGAATTTCTATTTGGTACTAGATACAGAAAATAAAAAAATATGCTTACTACAGTCTCTTGCATGCATTGACCACCATAACCTTCTAAGTGGTGTACCTGTGTTCATGTTTGCTTTCCTACATTCTAGCTTTGAAACAGCAGAGCAATCTTTAAACTTCTTTGATCTTATCTTGCATAACTAATAAAGCCCAATCTTCTTTTCTTGGTTTTGAATTCTTTGTTGTTCTACTCCTGCTTCTAGCTGCAACTCCATTGTGTTCTACCTGTCTCTTCACTCACCTTATTCTAGGCAAACTGGTTTTTGATTCCTGAAAATGACTTGCTCTTTCTCTCCTCAGGGCTTTTACACAGACAATTCTTGGCTCCTGAATGCTTTTCATCTGGCTAACTTCTTGTCAACCTTTGAATCTTAGCTTCATTGTTATTCCATTGGGGGGGGGGGGGGCTAAGTTAGATCCCTTCTATTAATTTTTCTGTGATTGTTCATTTGTTCACTTACATTTGTACATGTAAGAAGGGAGGCTTTGAGGAAGAATGTAGAGTGAGACAGATGATTGGCACCTATCTTCATAGAGCTTCTTTTCTTCTGGGGGAGGCAGATAAAATCAATGACAGTAATTACAAGATGTTGTAAGTGCTTTAAAGGAAAAAAGAGTACTGATATGAAGGTTATCAGAGGATGGCCAGGAGTAGGCCACTATAGACATAAAACCTTAAGCATTTCTCTCTTTTCCAAACCTAATTTGTAATCCACACACTCAATGAGGGAGGATATTTTATTGTTTATAGCAAACCCATATCTACTTTTGAACTTTCATGCCCTAGTTGGTTTGGCTCAGTGGATAGAGCCTCGGCCTGCGGACTGAAGGGTCCCGGGTTCGATTCTCATCAAGGGCACATGCTCAGGTTGCAGTCTCCATCCCCAGTAGAAGGCATGCTCATTGATGTTTCTGTCTCTCTCTCCCCCTCCCTTCCTCTTTGAAATCAAGTTTCTTCATATATTCCAAGCCGGAGGCTACCATGAAATATGGATGTACTTCATTTTTTCATATGAGCTAGGATTACTTTTGTTTACCAAAGTGTTGAATGCAAAATAAATTATTAGCTAGTTTTTCTCATAACACCTTTTCTTACCACAGTAACTATATTTATTTGTGGGTTTGCTTCTCTAATATCTGTATTTCATGTAGATGTGTGCTATATAAGAGTCAGGATTGTATCTGTTTGGTTCACCACTGCAAATTGAACATCTTGTCTAATTTCTGGCTTAAGTAGAATGAATGAATGAATGAATGAATGAATGTTGAGTAAATGATAGGAATTACATTTGGATGTGAGTCTTTAATGTGGCTGTTGAATTCTATCTGCTTAAATAATTTTCTAGGTTAAAATAGTGAGACCATGTTTTATGATATTGTGTTACAATCATGTTGAGCTTTGATCCATTTATGATTGTGTGTTAGAATGGGTCACATTATTTTTTGAAAATAATTTTACCTTGCCCCAAAGGGTTTTTTTTAGACTCACACCTAAAGGGAGAGAGAGTTGCCTTTTCAGGTAGCTGCCCACATTAGAATCACTAATTTTCCTAAAAGCTGCCACTTGTATCCATAGAATTGCCAATTACTTAGTGTATACTGCAAAATAAAATATATATATATTTTCTGTAATTTAAATAAAATTTTAAATCGTCACCAAGGATATTTTTCCATTGATTTTTAGAGAGAGTGTAAGAGGGAGGGAAAGACAGAGAGAAATATCAATGTGAGAGAAACACATCGATTGGTTGCCTTTGTTCAGGGAGGAATCTATAACCGAGGTACATGCCCTTGACTGGAATCGAACCTGGGACTCTTCTGTCTGCAGGCCAATGCTCTATCCACTGAGCCAAACTGGCTAGGGCCATATACATTTTCTATAGGCTTTTTCAGTGAATATAATCTTGAACTGACTGGTACTTAATATCTTTCAAAAGTTTGAATGAGAAAATGAATATTTAAAGAGTTTTTTGAAGGATGTGTAATATGTGTTGTGAAATTTGTGGGTCTATTCAAAGGCACCTATAGAGCTTTTAAAAGACCTACTGAATTAGAACATGTAAGGTCTGGGTCAAGATGGATCTGATGCATATCCAGGTATTAGAGCAATACTCCCTGTAAAGGCTAACACACAGCCACTCACACTCCATGGGAAAGTATGTAAGGAAGCTTTTTAGTGTTTCTTGTAAGTTGAAGTTCTTAAATGGTTCTTTCAGTGAATACTTATGAACTCCTAATATGTACTTTCTAGTCCCAAGATCTAGCAAAGTTGAGTATGTCTGTAAATTTAAGATGTGGGATGGTTAGTAATGAGAGATGTAGGTAGAGAGGTAGACTTTGAAAGGTTTTTATGTGTTACAAAGCAGTTAAGACTTTTTCCTTTCAGAGCTTTTTTTTTCTTAATTGAGAGAGCAATATGATCAGCTTATTTTACTTTTGATTTAAAGGGAGGTTATCTTGTCAACTCTATGGGGGCAGAAAACTATGACAAGGAAATCTGTTAGGAAGTAATTCTGTGCAAGAGATAAAGAGGAGCAATGGGGATGAATAGAATTAAATTTTAGCCCTGCAGCTACCGGTATTGGTTTAAGCCTTTTAAGCGCTAACCAATCTGCTCTACCCTTGACTTCAGGACAGCTGAGTTATAAAGACTGCTGAGAAGTCGTCCCAGACTTCTTTTGGTGGTCTCCTTATGTAGTCTTTTCTACTAATTTCCATTTTTATTGTTGCTTTGCTTATTTAATTCCTGTGTCTTATTTATCTTACACTGATGACACTTTTCATGATAGCTGCTACTACAAAAAAAATCTATTGAACAAGTTGTCCCCTAAACATACCAGTCTTAATTCTTTCCTTTCTATTTATGTGCCTTTGCTGAGGGCCTTTCCCTTTTCTCGAATGTTAATATGTCTCATTTCTACCCACGTTTTGAAGGATAACCTTTTTTTCATAAGTCAGCTCCCTTCTTTTCTACAGAGTTTTCTGTGATGGCTCCTGCATGGCCACATCCTCTTTGAGCTCTTATAGCATTTTAGCTCTCTACTGTTAGTTTATGTCACCTCGTAATTTTCATCTTTTTATGTGAATATGGATTGTATGCCTTTTTGAGTTCTGCAAAGTGTTTTACACATCGCTGTAAATAGCATACCCTTAAATTTCATGGTGGTCATTTTTCTTTTTGTTAAGTCTTCCTAAAACAACTTGGCTGTAAACACAGTTTATTCTGCTCTGAAAGACATAAAATCTTAGTTCTGAAATACTTTAACTTGTTAAAAATTTTAATTATCTGAATTTAAAGCAGAAATATTTCTCCCCCCCTTCCGAATTTTCAAAGGCCAAAATGGAAGAGTATTAAAATTTTTTTTTGTCTCATTGAAATATAAAGCCTTTTAAAGTTGAGTGTTAATATTTTATTTGAAAAATCCTTTAGAAGATTTGTATTTAAAATGCTTTAGTTAATGAAAAATATTTTCATTTGTTTTTTATGTTTAATAGTAATTTTTTTTTTTTTTACCAAAACAAGCCTTAGTTTCTTGGGAATCACTGAAAACATTTGGGCCTCCTCTGGTTTGCAATCCTCTTAAATTTCATCCATCAGTTAAAGACTAATTAAGACAGTTGGTGAACTTTACATATAGACAAATCAGTGTATAATAGAACTTTAGCAATTAAATTTACTTGTGGGAACATTATGAAATGTTGAAATACTTTGCTTTGGGATTAAGAAATCATTTTCTTTGGGAATTAACTAAGCTTAATTGTCGATATATTTTTTTGTAGCCCCTATGTTGTAAAGTACTATGGCAGTTACTTTAAGAACACAGACCTCTGGATTGTTATGGAGTATTGTGGTGCTGGCTCTGTCTCGGATATAATTAGATTACGAAACAAGACAGTAAGTATTTTTAAATTGTTTTGTTAATCTTGTTTCTAAAGATTCATATTTAAAATCTGACTAGGTAATATTTTGTTAAAAGAAAATATTAGTGTGGAAAAAAGAAAGTTTTAGAGTGTAAAAGGACCTAGTTTAAGGCATGAGAACCAGCCACATATCTTTATGGCAAACTTAGAAGTTATATGATTGTGTAATTTATTTATTGGGATTAATTTTTGGTAAGTCACCAAGAACTTACTATGGTGCTTCTCTTTTTTCATTTTGTATCATTATGCACAATCTTTATTAACTTGAATTCAATAAATTATGGCTAGAATTTTATTTAAAGTTCATAGTATTTATGGCATTTCTTTACTTCAGTTTTCTATATTATAATCTATGACGGGTAAACAGTAGAAGTTTTATATTTCTGAATTTTTAAAAATAATTGAAAAACAATTCTTGTCTTTATTTTTCCAAATAATACTGTCAGGATATTTGAAAGTGATAGAGTTAGATTATAGTGTTATAATTTTGTGAATTTAGCTTAGTGAAAGATGTTAATATAGCTTTTGATGGTTATATTTTAACCCTAAGTAAAAGTTATCTATTTACAAAATTGTTTACTTTCAGCCAGCTATACATCTAGTTTTCTTAGATAATTTGTAAGGACAAGAGTGCCCTTTTAATCTGTGAACAATTCAGAATAATCATCAGTAAAATAATTTGTAATTTTGTAGAATAGTAATCCAATTACTATATGACATTATTATATGTTACCAGACATGTTTAGTAGAATACATTCAGAAAAATGTTTAACTACTTGGGTCAATTTGTGGTTAACCAGAATCATTTTAAAGTTCGACTGGGGATGGAAATTGTAAGTTTATCCTACTAATATTTTTTTCTGTTAGAGAAAATAAATAGGATTTCTTTTGAAGGAAGTGACATAAATTTAAATAATCTCTGTTTTGACAGAATGTATTAAGTGGTTTGTGACATTCTAGTTATATATTTGAGAATTTCTGTGGTGCTTAACTAGCATTTATGGAAATCAGATAACACTTGAGTGGCAGAACAATGCTTTAAAGGAAAATAATTATACTTCAGTTACACATGTGGCTTAAAATCATTTTAGGGATAAACTACATGATTTGCTGTTTAAAATTACCAGGTAGAAATATGAAGTGTGAAATGGAAAAACCTATTGTTTTGATTGTAAATATTAATGTTATCATTTTGAATAACTAGTACTTAATTTCTTATCAATAATTACACACTATGAAGGTATATTGTAGTTGTATGAGATGAATATGGATGGGATCCTTATCCTTGGGAATCTCCTTCATCAGTTAGGAAAGGAAGGATGTTAGTTTATATGCATTATTTTTTAGAAGACAGAAGCTACTGAACATGTTGCAGAGTCATATATTGGGAATAGTCTAATTGCTGTTCTCATAGAAAGTGATCCTTGGGCCTGGGGTGGTATGGAGGAATCTGACTGCCGGATGTGAAAAAGCACCCAGAGCTGCATGATATGGATCAGGAGCTGGAGGCATATTGTCATGGGGTGTTGCCTTAGTAATGATTTATGTTAAAGCTCAAGATTATTTGTATCCTACTTTTTCTTCATGTTTGTATTAACTAAAAGGAGTACCATTGTTAAGAAGGTGAGCAATATGTGGATATGTATCATCCCATTTTTAAAAAAATGCCTTGGCATTTGTAAACATTTGACCATTTCATAGGAATGTTCACTGGAGTGATAACCTTGATTGTCTGACTTCAGAGTCATGGTTGTTACTGATGGGCTGGTTTTCAGAAATGAGACCAGTGAAATAGTTGTCCTTGGTCTATTTAAAACTCACTCTGAGAATTATTGTTTTCATGGTCACAGAACAATCAATCATTTCCTAAAAGTATGAGAATTAAAAAAATTTTTTTCTTAGGTTTCTATGGTCTTGTTCTTATTGTGTGTTTTGTTGTTTCTGTTAATTCTATATACATTTTTAAAAATTCCTTTTTAAAATATATATGTTTTTATTGATTTCAGAGAGAGGATGGGAGAAGGAGAGAGAGAGAGACGGAACATCAGTGATGAGAGAGAATCCTCTATAAACTGTCTCCTGGAAGCCCACACCCCCTTTTGTTTATCGAGCCAGCACCTGGGTCCTGTGCCCTGACCAGGAATGAACTGTGACCTCCTGGTTTATAGGTCCATGCTTAACTACAAGGAAACACTGGCTGGGCCCTATATACATTTTAAATAGCATAAGGCATTCTCATTGTTTTATATTGGCAGTGTTTGTATTTACTTATATCTAAAGTATTTATGCTTCTTATTGCTTTTTACTCCTTTCCGCATTTCTCAGTTCCTTGAAGAACAATATCCTTTAGTGTTTCCTTATGTGTGGAGGTGATGGTGTTAAGATCTCAGAGTTTTTAAATATAGAAATGTTATATCACTTCATTTTTGAACAATGTATTAATATTTGTTGAGTAAAAAATTCTAGGTTGGCACTTTCTTTTAGATTTATTTGTTTTAAGAGCAATGACTTTAGAAAAACCACCTAAGTAACCTACTTTTTGCAGAATTATATTTCCCTTTGAAAGAAATCTCATTAGGGATGAAGCATTCTTGATCAATTACTAATTGCTATTTTTTAAAAATTATTTATTGCTTAAAGTTGGAGACAGTAGCAGGGATGAGTAGGTTGACTCTGAAGTAGGGGTCAATTTCCCCTCATTAAATGCCTGACTGTAGCTTCAACATCCCACTAGCCCTGTCCTGACCATGACCACCCTGTCCTGCAGCTCAGGATTTAAGGAAGGGTCTGTGCCTTACAGCCAGCCTGTGCCCATTCTACAGTCTTTCTTTGGAAGGCTCTAGAGGAAGACCAGGCCTCTAGGGGAGGTGAGGCCTCTCAGGTTCCTGCATGTGGAGTTAAACCTTCAGGAACCTTAGACCTTTTATAGATCTGCCTCCAGCTCAAGGCTGCAGGAAGCTGACCATTGTACACAGATTGGTCTCTCCCATACACGCTCAGTCCCAGTAGATGTAGCCACAAATAGTGAATGGCCTGATACTTCCAGACAGGTTGTTGGTTACACACAACTTCTGACATAATCCTGTACCTGAACCTCATGCAAGTGGACCCAGAACCAGTGGTGGGCCTTAGACAACACCAGAAGTTGACCCAATTAGCCACACAAGCAGGACACCCAAAGGGGGATTCCTGAAGTCACTAGACACTTCTGTGAACAACTTTGCCTTGGGGGTCAGTCTGAGCAGAGTGACTCAAACTAGGTGATTGAGGTTTATCTTATAGTCAGCCAGCCTGAAAGGTTAACTCCATCTATGAAAGGGCCAAGAGCATTTAAAACACAACTACAACAGGAGGGTGCATATAATTCACAGGAAACATTTCCGGCTGAGCTTAGGTGATCTGGAAGATTGTGCCACTGGGCTCAACAAGACACATACATCATAAAGCCATAATAATAATTTTGAGGGGTGAGTTGGGGGGGCAGTGGGGGAATATGGACACACATGTAATACCTTAATCAATAAAAAGAATAGAAAACAATATAAAAGACACGAAAACAAATTTTTGGGAGTCGTAACAGATCTACTTAATATGCATGCAAAATGGGGAAAAAGAAATATGCCCCAAATGAAAGAACAAGAGAAATCCCAGAAATGTAATTAAATGAAATGGAAGCAACCAAATACCAGATGCAGAATTTAAAACAATGGTTATAAGGATACTCAAGGTTCTTAGGGGAAGAATAGATGATCTTTTTCAGAACTTCAGCAAAGAGGTAGTAAGCATTAAAAAGGACAAGTAAATCATAAAAAAAGAACCAGTCAGAAGTGAAGAATATAATATCTGAAATGAAAAATACACTGAGGAATCAAAAGCAGGTTAGATGAAACAGTGGATGGAGTAAACTATTTAGAGGACAAGATAACAGTAATCACCCAAGCAGAGCATCAAAAAGAACAGAGAATTCAAAAAATGAGGAAAGTTTAAGGGGCCTCTGGGACAATATCAAGTATAACAATATAGGGGTACCAGAAAGAAGAGAGTGATCAAGGGATAGATAACCTGTTTGAGGAAATAATGGCTGAAAACTTTTCTAACTTGGTGAAGGAAAATGTCACACAAATTCAGGAAGTGCAGAGTCCCAATCAAGATGAATTGCAAGACTAAACCAAGACACATTATAATTAAAATGGCATAGGTTAAAGACACAGAGAGAATCTTAAAAGCACAAAAGAAAGACAGTTCCTTGCCTGCAAGGGAGCTCCCATAGCTGTCAGCTGATTTCTCAACTGAAACACTTCAGTCCAGAGAGAATTGGCATGAAATATTAAAAGTGATAAAAAGCTAGGTCCTACAACCAAGACTACTACAGCAAGGCTATCACTTAAAATTGAAGCCAAAATAAAGAGCGTCCCAGACAAAAAGAAGCTAAAGGAGTTTATTATGACCAAACCAGTATTCCAAGCAATGCTAAAGGGCCTGCTCTAAGGAGAAGAAATAGAGGAACAAAGGTATGAAAAATAAAATGGCAATAAGTAAGTACCTATGAAAAATAACCTTAAGTGTAAATTGGATAGCTAAGTGGATGAGAAAACATGAGAACCCACCTCAGTACAAAAGACTCACATAGGATGAAATGAAGGAATGGAAAAACAATTTCCATGCAAAATGAAAACGAAAACAAAAAGTTGGGGAAGCAATACTTGTATCTGACAAAATAGACTTCAAAGCAAAGGCCATACCATGAGATAAAGAAGGTCACTACATAATACTAAAGGGTTTGATTTAACAAGAAGCTATAACTCTTATAAACCTATATGGAATCAACATATGAGCACCTAAATATTTAAAGAAAATCTTGATGGACATTATGGGAGAAATCAACAGCAATACAGTCATAGTAGGGGATTTTAACACACCTCTAACATCAGTGGGTAGATCTTTCAGACAAAAAATAAGGCAATAGCGACCTTA